GGCAGGGCACCTGATTCGTCTTTGCCGCACTCCTCGGCAAGGTGGCCACCCGAGAGAGGGCCAAATTGATGCGCTCGCCGCAACGCGCGCAGGGGTTTTCTGAAGTTCCGTTCCCGCATGTGTGCGGCCCACGTTGTTTCCCCCTCGCCAAATAGTCGGAAGCGGGACCGCGCGCGAGCGCCTTCCGCTCGCCAAGTGGTAACGCTTTCTAGTCCCAATCCCGAGCTGTTCCGCCATTGGTTCTTATGTTATGGGCGGGAGGGTCGAAGTGATTGGGACGCGCTGACTCGTTCAACAAGCTGATCCCTCTACTCCTCCTCCTCATCGTCCTCCCTCCTCTCTCCTCACTTCCCCTCCCTCCTCCTCCTCCTCCTCCTCCTCCTCCTCCTCCTCCTCCTCTTCCTCCTCCTCCTCCTCCTCCTCTCCTCCTCCTCCTTCCTCCTCCTCCTCCTCCTCCTCCTCCTCCTCCTCCTCCTCCTCCTCCTCCTCCTCCTCCTCTTCCCCCCCGTCCTCCCCTCCTCCTCCTCCCCTCCTCCTCCCTCCTCCTCCTCCTCTCCTCCTCCTCTCCTCCTCATCCTTCTCCTCCTCCTCCTCCTCCTCCTCCTCCGCCTCCTCCCTCTCCTCCTCCCCTCCTCCTCCTCCTCCTCCTCCTCCTCCTCCTCCTCCTCCTCCTCCTCCTCCCCTCCTCCGCCTCCTCCTATTCCTCTTTCTCCACCCCCTCCGACGACGGGTCCAAGAAGTCTCGGCCGCTTCCTGGAGGCGTTTTCCCCCCGGATCCGTTTTGATGGCCCTGGAGCTCGAGAACGAAATCCCAAGACTGGGGTTGCAATAAAGATTAAACGATCGATCCATCGATCTCCGATCGACCGACGGCGGCGGCGACGACAATGCGTCCTGCTTCGCGCGGCGGATGAGCTGCAGAAGCTCGAGTCGCCGCGAGACCTCTGGCCGGGGGACGCGCGACAGAGCTTGGCCTAACTGCGACCATTGCGCACGGGGCTGAGCTGCATCAGCCGCAGCTGTTTGAGCAGCCAACGGTGGGCGACCAAGCCAAGCGCTGAGGGCCGCCAGGCAGTACTCTGCGCGCGCGTTTCGATTTGCAGTTTGCGTCGCGGGGCAGGCAGACAGACAAAGCACCTGGCGCCTTGACGCCGCACGGGCAGAGAAGACGCCGTGCAGAGGTGCAGCAGTAACGACGTGAGACACGATCGGCCGTGCTGTGAAGTCACGATCTTGCGATGACCACGATCACGACCACGACGATGACGACGACGACGACGACGACGACGACGACGACGACGACGACGAGGGGGAGGAGGACGAAGAGGACGACGCCGGCGCCGGTGGGGGAATTCGCTGGAATCCGCCATTGTCCACGACGTGGCAGCGAGCTCAGCCTTCCAAAACTGACCAAACTCGGGATCCCCCAAACAGGGGGTGACCCTGAAGGGGGGCATGAGCTCGATCCATTGGTGCACCAAGCTGCCGCAAACAGATACCCCCCACCAATCAGCAACTACTGGGAGCTGCCACCGGCTGGGGGGGCATCTGTTTTGGGCGGTTCGGTGCAAAAACCGAGCGAACTCACACCCTCCCCCGGGGCACACACACCATTTGCGGGATCCCGACAAACACGAGATTTCGAAAGGCAAAGACGACGCAGGCGCTGGGGGGAGGAACTTGCTGGAATCTGCCATCTGGCCATCGCTCGGACGTCCATTCCCTGTTTTTTTCGGCTTCGTGCGTGGTTTTCGCCAAATGATCAAGGACGCTCCTCGATGGTCCTCGCCGAGGAAAAGAAGCACACGCCCGAGCGATGCCAAGCCATTGTCCACACCCCCTGCAGAATCCCGAGAGGAGTCCAGCGGCGAGCGAAGACGTCGGCGTGGGCCTCCGGAAATTTAAACGAGCGACGAAGAGGACAGCGGGCCTCACGCGACATGGCGTCGCAACCTCTCCGCCGCGGCCTGCGCGGGCCGCCGGCGCGGCGCGCTGCAGTCTAGACGAGGGCGTTCCCGCGCGACCTTTGCGTTAAGTCGGGCGTGTCCCCCTTCAGGGGGATTTTCGACGAAAACTAAAAAAATACTCCAAAAATACCCCAAAAAGGTCAAACATACCCCCCCCAAAAAATAGTCCCCAGACTATGTTTGGACTATTTTTCCCTACCTAGGCTCTGCCTAGAGGGTTCTTACTCTCTTAGCTTAAAGGGGCCGGGCAGTGGAACGCGCCCCGGGCGGTTCCCCCAGTCCCCGCCCCGCGGTTCCCCCAGTCGCGCCCCCTTAGCTTAGCGTTGCTTATCTCATCTTAGCTTAGCTTATTTCATCTTAGATTAGCTTAGCTTCATCTTAGCTCAGGTTTATCTTAACTTAGCTGACCTTCATCTTAGCTTCGCCGAGCCTTAGCAGAGCACAGCATAGCATAGCAGAGCGTAGCATAGCATAGCGCAGCACATCATATCATAGCATAGCCCAGCATAGCCCAGCATAGCATAGCATAGCGCTGCACAGCATAGCATAGCGCAAGCTTTTGGCGAGTATGCATAGCATAGCATAGCCCATAGCGCATAGCATATCATAGAATAACATAGCATAGCCAAGCATAGCATAGCATAGCATAGCATAGCATAGCGCAGCATATAATATCATAACATATAGTATCATATCATACCATATCATAGCATAGCGCAGCTTAGCATAGCATAACATAGCATACCATAGCTTAGCATAGCACAGCGCAGCGTGACATAGCATAGCTCAGTATAGCATAGCATAGCATAGCATAGCGCAGCATATCATAACATAGCACATCATAGCATATCATAGCGCAACATAGCATGGCATAGCATAGCACAGCATAGCAACTAATGCTGCTTTTCTAGGGGCTCCAAGCTCTAGGTAGGGCCGCAATGGGGCAATCTTACTATTCTGGGGTTACTTTTGATCCTTCGTCGACAACCCCCCTGCAGGGGGACGGGCCCGACTGAACCTTTGCGGGGCCCCGACGAGCACGGGCCTTCCGAGGTCCGCGCGGACACCTCGGGCCGGCGCCGGACCTCCCACGACGCGGCGTGGCGCCGGCGCCGACCCACGAAGGCCGCGCGGCCCTGCGAGCCTCGCTCGGGCCGGGAGCTCAGCGCGGGTCGGGCAGCCTGTGGTGCCGGCGATTGCCTGTCGCACTCTCCGTGAGCGTTGCCTGCGACGCCCGGTGCGCTATGGCTGAGCGCAGCGCCTTCGAAGAAGCAGCCTCCGTCTGAGAAGCCTCCCTCCCCCCCCCCGCCGCCAAGTGCTGTCAGGAACGTCGGCTTCAGGACGAGCAGCTGTGGCGCAGGCCACAGACCTTCGGGTCAAACAAAAATGTGGTGCAGGCGAAAACCTGTAGCACTTTGGGGCGGGTGGTAACGGGGTGTGACCCAAAAAAGGGGGTGAAGAGAAATGCCCTAGAGGGGGGGGCCCTTTAGGGCCCTTCTCGGAGCCAGGTAGTGCCCAAAAGATGCCCTCAAGGGCCCCATTAGGGCCTTTCTCTTCACCCCCTTTTTGGGGTCACCCCCCAGAACCGTCCACCCGCCCGACACTTTTCATGCACACTGCATGTGACGCCCAGTGCCCTGGCGTCCCACCTTGACGCCTGTCGCGCCGGGGCGCGGTGGGCTTAGGTCGGGCGGAGCTTGGGCGGAAATTGGGAAGTACCTAATAAAATACTCAAAAATCATCGAAACGTCGTCCCCTGATTGTTCTTAATGTATTGTTTCAATACTCCTCCAGTAGAAGGACATGCCCGACTTGACGGTGGGCCAGAACTGGTGGAGCGACGCGCTACCCAAAAGTTCCCGACCGTATGTCTGTGCCGCGTGTGCAGCACTGGCTGGCCGCCCCGGCCGCTCCACGGCGACGCACCTCGCCATGGGAGTACCCTCCCCTCCCCCCCTCCTTCCTCGCGGCCGCTTTCGCCTGTCTTTACCTCTCCCTGCCGCCAGCGAATTTGCGCATCCCGTAGGAGGAGGAGGAGGAGGAGGAGGAGGAGGAGGAGGAGGAGGAGGAGGAGGAGGAGGAGGAGGAGGAGGAGGAGCAGAAGGAGCAGGAGGAGGAGGAGGAGAGGAGGGAGGAGGAGGGAGGAGGCGGAGGAGCAGGCAGGAGGAGGAGGAGGAGGAGGAGGAGGAGGAGGAGGAGGAGGAGAAGGAGGAGGAGGGGGGAGGAGAAGGAGGAGGCGGAGGGAGGAGGAGGAGGAGGAGGAGGAGAAGCAGGAGGTGCCCGGACAGCCTGAGCGCGCGTGCGGACTGCCTCTGCCGCGCTGCGACATAAAAAAAGTCGATGCCGCGCCTGCACTCCGAAGACTTCCGCGCCAGCGGCTCAGGCTCTTCCAGCGCCCTGTGTCCCCTTCGGGTCGGGTGTAATGCCGCAGGTGCTGTCAGAATCATACGGGGCACGAAGAGGCAGAGGAACGCGTGCTGCATGAGAATCGGGACCCCTGGCCTTGTTCCCCCAGAGCTGCCAGAGTCCATGATGTCCCAGTTGTCGAAAGGTGCTGCAGATACGAAGGCGCGGCGCAAGATTCGGTTGGCTGCTGGTCGCGGGGAAAGGGCGCATAGTCGTGGAGGACGGAGCAGGGCATTTCTGTGCGGATATGATACAACAGAGGCAAGCATCATCAGCCGTGGCCAATCTCATCAACCCTGACGCCATGCATGACCAAGCCCGTGACCAGCATCGGCAAGACCGACACGAGCACGATCAGATCACGGACTACTTCATTGGCGCACTACGGGGCAGTCAGGGAATCCGACCAATGAGCCATATACCCTAGGCATTATAACGGCAAGCCAGAGTGTGATAACCCAGTACATTATCCGCCACATGTACAGCAGAATGGCTTACCATACTACCGACGACCTCCAAGAGGTGGTTACCCCGTACGACCACGCGCAACGCGACTGCGATTAGATCGTCGGCTGCATCAAGGTCGGCGTGCAGTACAACCCGAACGGAGCACCAGCACCATTTGCAATGACAGCATTCCAGAAAGGCGTCGCCAGAGACATGCTCCACCACATGAACTACCTGCTGCAAGATCAGGAGGACAACCAAGCGACCAAGACGGCCAACAGGACACTCGGAGATCAAGGACCCGACCCCTCCGACCCACCCCTGGGTTCCCAAGACGAGCCCCAGAGGCACCAGCCCCACGCAGGAACAACCAAGTACCCAGACTGACACCCCACCGGGGTCTCGGCAGGCTCCCTGGCTCCCTCCCAGCAAGGCGGACACCGCATCAACATGGCGGACGACGGCCACAGTCGCGCCACCATCCCTGCCACCGATCCCTTCAACCCAAGGACTGGCACCCACGGTGGACAGCAGGACCAGGCACCAGCACCCTGCGGCGGCGACTGCTGTGGACAACACCGGTGCCCAACATCGCCGTTGGAGGACATGCCCCAGCCACGGCTGTCCACGGCTCAGATCAGGATCGCCGACAAGCAGACGCCAAGGGGCAACGAGGTCCACAGATTCGATCAACGACATCCTGTACTCTGCTCCGCCTCCACGCCCGCCCACGACAACAACGGGGAGGAGTACTACCCCGGCTACGACCACACGGGCTACACCACAACGGCGGAACAAACGCCCCTACCGGACAAACAAGCGACCGCCACCGACTTGACCAACTAAAAACCGCGCTGGGATGCGGACACTTCCGCACCGATCCCGCCGACAGCGTGATCAATGGCAACACAGCGCCCAGCCCAAGAAAACGTTCACGGCCCGTGGCACGGACCCTACATCTTGGGGGGCGGAAAGATACGGATACGTGTTGTCCCCGGACCTCTCTTGGGGTGCGTTCTGACCAGAATTTCGAGGCGAATCCAGCGGCGACAACGAGGATTCCCCAGGAGGACCAGGAAAGGCCGAAAACGAAGGGGGACAACACGCATCCGTATCTTTTTCTCCCCCGACCATCTGGAAACGGACATGCACCACCCATCCTGTCTCTCTCCGTGCAACCCACCGACCCGCCGACGACTAAGAGGCGAAAACCACCTTCATGCCGAGACGGGACCTGCCGCACGGAGGCCCGTCCGTGCATCCCTCCCACCTGTCAATTTTGCCCCAGCGACCGACGGCTCCAACCATCCAATTTTGCTCCCGGCAGCCACTGGCGCCAGCAGCTGTCCCTCGCCCTACACCTGACCGCGGCACTACTATTAGGTCGGGCCTGCCGCACTACAGGCCGATTTTCGAAAAACATGAAAAATAATCTCACACACGCACACACAAAAACACAAATTAAAAACAAAACAAAAAATAGCCTGGCGAAGGACCCAACCATATGCAGTTGTGAATGCCGCAATTGTGCTGGGTGGTGGCGGACGCATGCGGGCGGTGCCACTGGGACCTTCGGTGGAGCTCCCTATGGGGCCACGAAACGCTGTACTGGGTGGGTGAGACGCGGTCAGCAAGGGCTGTGCTGCGTGGTGGCGGACGCATGCGAGCGGTGCCACTGGGACCTTCGGTGGAGCTCCCTATGGGGCCACGAAACGCTGTACTGGGTGGGTGAAACGCAGGCAGGGAGCAAGGGCTGCGCAGGGTGGTGGCGGACGCATGCGGGCGGTGCCGCTGGGACCTTTGGTGGAGCTCCCTATAGGGCTACGAAGCGCTGTTCTGGGTGGGTGAAGCGCAGGGAACAAGGGCTGTGCTGGGTGGTGGCGGACGCAAGCGGGCAGTGCCACTGGGACCTTTGGTGGAGCCCCCTATGGGGCCACGAAACGTGCGAGGGGTGTGCCAGAATGGGGGGTGGAACCGCATGCCAGCGCAGCCACTGGGGCCTTCGGTGGAGCTCCCTATGGAGCCACGAAACGTGTGAGGGGTGTGCCGAAATGGGGGGTGGAACCGCATGCGAGCGCAGCCACTGCGGCGTTCGGTGGAGCTCCCTATGGGGCCACGAGACGTGTGAAGGGCGTGCCGAAAAAGGGGGTGGAACCGCATGCGAGCGCAGCCACTGGGGCCTTCGGTGGAGCTCTCTATGGGGCCACGAACCGTGTGAGGGGTGTGCCGAAATGGGGGGGGGGAACCACATGCGAGCGCAGCCACTGGGGCGTTCGGTGGAGCTCCCCATGGAGCCACCCACGAAGCGTGTGAGGGGTGTGCCAGAATGGGGGGTGGAACCGCATGCGGGCGCAGCCACTGGGGCCTTCGGTGGAGCTCCCTATGGGGCCACGAAACGTGTGAGGGGTGTGCCAGAATGGGGGGTGGAACCGCATGCGGGCGCAGCCACTGGGGCCTTCGGTGGAGCTCCCTATGGGGCCACGAAACGTGTGAGGGGTGTGAGTGGAACCGCATGCGGGCGCAGTGCCAGAATGGGGGTGGAACCGCATGCGGGCGCAGCCACTGGGGCCTTCGGTGGAGCTCCCTATGGGGCCACGAAACGTGTGAGGGGTGTGCCAGAATGGGGGGTGGAACCGCATGCGGGCGCAGCCACTGGGGCCTTCGGTGGAGCTCCCTATGGGGCCACGAAACGTGTGAGGGGTGTGCCAGAATGGGGGGTGGAACCGCATGCGGGCGCAGCCACTGGGGCCTTCGGTGGAGCTCCCTATGGGGCCACGAAACGTGTGAGGGGTGTGCCAGAATGGGGGGTGGAACCGCATGCGGGCGCAGCCACTGGGGCCTTCGGTGGAGCTCCCTATGGGGCCACGAAACGTGTGAGGGGTGTGCCAGAATGGGGGGTGGAACCGCATGCGGGCGCAGCCACTGGGGCCTTCGGTGGAGCTCCCTATGGGGCCACGAAACGTGTGAGGGGTGTGCCAGAATGGGGGGTGGAACCGCATGCGGGCGCAGCCACTGGGGCCTTCGGTGGAGCTCCCTATGGGCCACGAAACGTGTGAGGGGTGTCGGTGTGGGTGGACGCATGCGGCGCGGCATTGGGCCTTCGGTGGAGCTCCCTATGGAGCCACGAGAAGGGTGTGCCGAAATGGGTGTGGGTGACGCATGCGGGCGCGGGCACTGGGGCCTTCGGTGGAGCTCCCTATGGAGCCACGAAACGTGTGAGGGGTGTGCCGAAATGGGTGTGGGTGACGCATGCGGGCGCGGGCACTGGGGCCTTCGGTGGAGCTCCCTATGGAGCCACGAAACGTGTGAGGGGTGTGCCGAAATGGGTGTGGGTGACGCATGCGGCGCGGGCACTGGGGCCTTCGGTGGAGCTCCCTATGGAGCCACGAAACGTGTGAGGGGTGTGCCGAAATGGGTGTGGGTGACGCATGCGGGCGCGGGCACTGGGGCCTTCGGTGGAGCTCCCTATGGAGCCACGAAACGGTGTACTGGGTGGGTGAAGAGGAGAGGAGGAGAGGAGGGGAGGAGAGGAGGGGAGAGGAGAGGAGAGGAGAGGAGAGGAGAGGAGAGGAGAGGAGAGGAGAGGAGAGGAGAGGAGAGGAACGCGGGGCACCGTCTCTTCAAAACGAGGACCCAACACCACAGGATGGTTGGGGAAAAAAAATTGTTTTGATTGTTTTGCGATATTCCTCCTAAAGAGGGACAGGCCCGACTTAACACTACTATTGCACCAAACCGCCGCACGCACCTCCTACGAAAGCAGCAGCAGCAGCAGGACCACTCTTTCTACCCCATTTTCAAACGACAGCAGCACTCCGCCCTAACACACAACGACGCCGATCACCTCGAGGGGCACGAAAATAGTGGGTCCACGGTACTACAGGGTTTCCAAACCCGCCGTGGTCTTCTCACCCGCAGAAGATTACCCGACGAGTCAGAACACCAACGACGGCGGCTACACCTACAACGAGCTAAGCTATGCAGCAGGTCCACGGTCACACAAGGCTCCCAAGCACGCCGTGGCGGTCTCACTCACTGGCCACACAATACCATCTACCAGGGCCAACGCTATGCGTGCGGCCTTCTCACCCACACATGCTACTTCATCCGAGGAGGACGAGATGAGTGCCACTGGAGAGGAAGCAACACAATGCGGCCAAGTGGGTGGGACCACCTACTTCCAGAAGGCTGGTGGATAGAGTTCTCTCATGCACCTCCTTGGTGGTGGCCTTCCTCGCCAGCATGTGCTGGGGCCTCGGAGGCAAAAACACGAGGAGCCAACTATCCACTAGGTCCCAAGGGGCTATCAACCAACCTTCGCTGCCTCCTGGTTCCACCTGCTGTTGTCTGCCTCCCCCCGCCGTTCACCCCACCCACATACTCCTCCCTACTCTCGTGGTGGCGGGATTGGGCGGGGTTCCATGGGGGAGCGATGGGGAACACAACCGTTGGCTATCACGGCGTTGGCCGAAAATGCAGCGGGCCAGCCACAGTGCAACCCAACGCCAGAGGTGTTACCCGTATTGCAAGACCTCCGACGCAAAGCACCACCACTACCAACGTTCGTCTTCTACCTGCCTCCTTGTCTGCCACTTTTCTCGTGCTCAGGCGGAATTGAAACATGGGGGGGGTATGGGGGGGGCGAATGGACCGCACCGCCGGCTGACATGGCAAGGACCAGGGCGGCCGCGAAATACAGCCGATGACCATCGGCCAAATCACGAAACTTTTGCACCCGACTCACCCCGCCTGCCGCTAGCCCTTCGCACCAGCCCACTTTCTGCCTACGTATGCCACGCACTACCGCCGCTCTCCGTGGAGGTGGATATGGGTGGGTACGGGATCCTCGGGGCGGGGGGGGGACTTCACCTACCGCGGCCGCCGCCGCAAAACGGCTCAAACCTTCCCACGCTACTGCGCCGATCCGAAAGTTTCCCCAATTTCGCCACCGTGCCGGCCGCAGCCCCCTGGGGTGTCGCGCGCGGGACAAGACTCGTGGGGCCCGAGGGCGGATGGTGGCGATGTCGCGAGGGCAAAGGCGGCGCGCCGATGAGCAGCCCAGCGCCCCGTTTGGCCGGAGGGGCCCAGTACAATGCAATGGCAGAGCCTAACCCCCGCCCGGGGTCGCGGGATCGGGTTCGCCTTCCCAATTTAAAATTTCAAATCCCAAACGGTGTACTGACCCGAAAATGAGCAAACGGCATAGGATCTCCTCGAAAGAAGCTTTCGGGCTCGGTCATGCGCCGACCCGAAAAGTTTATCGGCCGACCTGAAAGTGGCCAAATCCCATATGATTCGTTCCCACAAAAATTCGGGTCCGGTTCGAACGACCCGAAAAAATGCGCAAACCGCCCAAGACTCCTTGCAAAAACATCGTTTTCGAGGTCTTCGGGCCCGCTCCGAAGAAGCCGAGCATGGGCAAACCGCTTAATACTTCCTGTCAAAAAAAACGGTTTCTCGGTGGTTCCGGGCCTCGTCCTAAGGAGCCGCCGATGGGCAGACCGCTCAAGACTTCCTGCGCAAGAAACTGTATCCCGGGTGAGCCATTGTCAACGGGAACGCGCCCCGCGCGGGATCGGGATTCGTGCGGGGCCGCGGCTGCTCTCGCGTGTCCAGGGGGCATGCACTGTCGCGCCCTTCCAACATTGCGTATGCGTGCGGCCTTCTCACCCACACATGCTACTTCATCCGAGGAGGACGAGACGAGTGCCACTGAGGGGGAAGCAATACGATGCGGCCAAGTGGGTGGGACCACCTACTTCCAGAAGGCTGGTGGATAGAGCTCTCTCATGCACCTCCTTGGTGGTGGCCTTCCTCGCCAGCATGTGCTGGGGCCTCGGAGGCAA